CAAATTGGCGGGCTCTGGCAGGCTGTGTCGCCATAGGCTAGTGCAGCTCAGCTGCCGAGCCATTGGTTCGTTTTTAATACACTGCACGAACCAAAGGTCGTGCAGTTACACTGCGTGATTGAAAAAGGCTTCAGTATTCTGAGAAAAAGGAGTTTTCCCAAAGCATCTTAGCAGATGCAGTACGAGTGAAGTATCGATAGGGAACTGTCTTCCTGTGCAGCAGTTTGTCTTAGGAATAAAAAAAGAACACCTGTTCATTTATAATTTGTCTTAAACCTTACTTTGTTTTTAAAATAAATCATAACAAAATTGTATTATGAAATCAGTATTGCGAATCGTATCACAACGTCATTTGAGTGAATTGTTACATCCCTATCAGACTACATCACCAGCTGAGCTCGTCCTTGGCATGACTGTTGTATGGGTTCTGCTGAAATAGCTGGAAAAAAATTACTGATGGATATTAATGAATAATAATAATAATAATAATGTTTTCAAAGGGCATGTGTAAATATATTTACCAGCAAAGTATGTAAAATAACAACAACTTTGCCTGAACATGCCTTACACATGGAAATTGTACTGAAAATTATAAATGTAGTAATTCTCTAGCAAATCTACTGCCAATTGGGCAACATATAATTCTGAAAAATTTAAAAGGCCACTTCCAGTACTTCAGGTTTGAACCCCACACAGTGTATTTAAAAAAAAAATTAAATTAGGTAGTGTATAATTTCTAAATTTTAAGCAAAAACAGCATGGCCTGACTTCCTTTGTGAAATTATGCTACATAAAACTTATGAACGAAACAAAAACAGCAGACGGGCTAAACGAGAATGCAAAATGCAGTGACACAGCATTTACTTGGTTACGTAAACAAAGCATGTGAACAATGCATACTTTAATATGCATTATACGGAGGCAAGATAAAAAAATATTTTCCATAGAAACATTTCTGAAGACAGTCAGTTCCCCTCATAGATACATTCATATAAACTCCCAAAGAAACACGTGCAGCCATCATCGCTTTGCATCAAAATGGCCTCAGATGCAAGCAAATTGCTACAAAGAATATTGCACCTGAAAGAACCATTTACCGGATCATCAAGAACTTCAAGGAGAGAGGTTCGACTGCAGTGAAGAAGTCTTCAGGACGTCCCAGAGTGTCCAGCAAGCGCCAGGACCGTCTCCTCCTGAGGAGTCAGCTATGGAATCGTGTCACCAGCAGTGCAGAGCTTGCTCAGGAAAGGCAGCAGATTGGTGTGAGAGCATCTGCACGCACAGTGAGAAGAAGACTTTTGGACAACAGCCTGGTGTCAAGAAGGGCAGCAAAGAAGCCACGTCTCTCCAAGAAAAAAACGTCAAGGACAGACTGAAATTCTGCAGGAAGTACAAGGATTGGACAGCAGAAGACTGGTGCAAAGTTATTTTCCCTTCCGACTGTTTGGGACATCTGGAAAATCGATTGTTCGGAGAAGAAAAGGTGAACGCTACCATGAGTCCTGTGTCGTGCCAACAGTGAAGCATCCTGAGACCATCCATGTGTGTGGGGTTGCTTTTCAAGCTCTCATAATTCTGCCCGAAAACACTGCCATGAATAAAGAATGGTATCAAAATGTCCTGCAAGAGCGATTTCTTCCAATGATCCATGAGCAATTTGGTGATGATCCGTGCATTTTCCAGCATGATGGAGCACCATGTCACAAAGCAAGAGTGATAAAGAAGTGGCTCGAACATCATTGCATAGACATTTTGGATCCGTGGTCAGGCAACTCCCCGGATCTCAATCCCACTGAGAACCTGTGGTCAGTTCTCAAAGAGCGAGTGGACAAGCAGAAGCCCACAAATTGTGATCAACTCCGAGAACTAATAAGGCAAGAATGGATGGCCATCAGTCAGGATTTGACCCAGAAGCTAATATTCAGCATGCCAGAGCGAATTGCAGAGGTTATGAAGAACAAGGGTCAACACTGTAAATATTGACTCATTATATTTTTTGCCAATAAAAGCCTTTAAAACTTATATGATTATCATTGTTTTTCAGTATACCATAGAAACATGTGGAAAAATAATCTACAAATACTGAAGCAGCATACTTTGCAAAACACAAAATGTATGTCACTGTCAAAACATTTGGCCATGACTGCACTGTAAAAAAAAAAGCAGTCAATGACTGTCAGTTACGGCTGTCAAACAAAAACCCTAAAATGAATGTAAAATATTCTAATTTAAATAAAGTGCAAAAAACTTTTAACAGAAATTGCCCTTTTTTTTTTTTTTTTTTTTTTTTTTACAGAAAAACAATGTTATTTTAAAGATATTTCCTGAATTATTAGGATCAAACACCTTAACTGAAAAAAAACAAAACAAAAAAAACAGTGAAATGACTGCCAACAATGGCTACCAAACCAAAAAATATCCTAATTTAAATTAACAACAAAAAAAAACTTTCACAAAAAAACTGTTGTTTTCCAGGTATTTCCTGAATTATTAATAACAAACATGTTCATTGCAAAACATGAATCTCTAGCAGTTAACCAGAAACAGCATGCATGAAACAATGTAACTATACGTTACTGCTTCAGCAACTACACAATTACTGCTTTTGAATAAAACAACATGCAGTATAACATCAATGTTTCCTGTGCTTCTGCTAGACTGAAGCACAAGTTCTATTCCTCAGCACAACGAAAACCTCACAAAATCCCAACAGAACATTAACACTAATAAATCACTCTAGAACTCAGCATCTTCACTTATTACAAACCAGTTTGCCCTTATTTCTATCATATAAAAGAGAATTAATAGGTTTAGATGTTGATGTTTTACTAAAAATAATAAAGTTTGATGTCACCATCATGGTGGTCAGTGTTTGCTTTTGTTGGGCTCTTGACCCTTGAATTTCTTTTAGTAAGTTTCTCTTTGGTTTCTTTAACTGTGTCTTTCTGATATACATTTGTTACGGCAGGGATTTGAAGAGAAACTCTGATCTGATGATCATGCTAGTCACTCTTTGGTGATAGTTTCAAATCACTCAGAGATTAGACTTTTAGCAGTGAATCAGGTCACTATGATGACTATATTATCATCAATAAGTGACCAACATCATCTGATCAGAATTGTTCTTACATTTGTTTTGCCATAACAAAGATGAATCAGAAACACACTGTTAAAGCAAACAAGGAAAAACTGAGGAACTGATAAAACCAAGGGTCAAGAGCCCAACTAAAGGAACACTGACCACCATAACGGTGACTTCAAACTTTATGCTTTTCAATAAGAACAGCACCATCTAAACCTCTGTTAATTCTCAAAAATAACTTTTGTATGAAAGAAATAAAGCAAACTGGTTTGTAATAAGTGAAGATGCTGAGGTGTTTAATGTTTTTTTGCTGCCAGTCTTTTTAATTTTTTTTGCACTTTATTCACATAAATTTGACCTTTTTTCTCATCTTTTTTACTGTTTTAACCTATTAGCGTTCAAAAAAAAAAAAAAAGGTAACCTCAAAAACACAATGGTAACCACACATACCTTTCAAAAGAGACCAAAACCATGCATATACTCAAAATCAGCATGCAATTTACTAATTGGGTATGCCTTTTTTAGGCACATTTTACAGGAATGCTAAAGGGTTAAAGTGAAAGTGTTTGATTACAATAATTTAGAAAATACCTGTAATTTTCCGGTTTATACAAACTAGGATGTACTTTAATTTAACATTTTTTTTGTTTGTTTGTTTTTTTGGCAGCCGCTGCTGCCATTTATTTGACCTTTTTTTTTATTTTTTAGATTTTTTAAAAGGTGAAGGTGTTTGGTCATAATAATTTAGTAAATTCCTGTAAAATAACAGTGTTTTTTTTGGTTTATTTAAATTAGGATATTTCACTTTAATTTTATGATTTTTGTTTGGCAGCCGCTGCTGCCAGTCATTTGACCTTTTTTAATATTTTTTTTTTAGGCAGGAAGTTATAGTTCCCAGCATGCTTTGCATAGGTCTGGATAAGGAGATTAAATGTTGAAATTAAGTGTTGATTTATTTGTTTTTATTGGGAAAGGGAAAGACCTGTTAGTGTTTAATGCTGTTATGTTTGACATTTAAAAGAGTTTCTATAATGTTGAAGTTTTTATTTATTTTTTTATTTTTTTACTGTTTAATTACTGAATATTTTTGTAATTTTACATACATTTGTATGTAATTTAAGAAAAAAGAAGAAACACTGTATAAAAAATACAGTAATATTTCCGTATAAAAAATGTGAATTACTCTAATGTATTGTTAATGTCATGATACTTAAAATAACAGCCAATTTGTTAATTTACAGAAACTGTTGGTAATTTTACAGAGTTTTGACTATAACAACAAAAAAAAACTTTCACAAAAAAACTGTTGTTTTCCAGGTATTTCCTGAATTATTAATAACAAACATGTTCATTGCAAAACATGAATCTCTAGCAGTTAACCAGAAACAGCATGCATGAAACAATGTAACTATACGACCTGTTAGTGTTTAATGCTGTTATGTTTGACATTTAAAAGAGTTTCTATAATGTTGAAGTTTTTATTTATTTTTTTATTTTTTTACTGTTTAATTACTGAATATTTTTGTAATTTTACATACATTTGTATGTAATTTAAGAAAAAAGAAGAAACACTGTATAAAAAATACAGTAATATTTCCGTATAAAAAATGTGAATTACTCTAATGTATTGTTAATGTCATGATACTTAAAATAACAGCCAATTTGTTAATTTACAGAAACTGTTGGTAATTTTACAGAGTTTTGACTACAAACTAGAAAACTTAAAAAAAAATCACAGTTATTTTCCTTAAAATTAAGATTTTTTTACAGTGTGTAGGTCTACTTCTACAGGTGAGAATAATTTTAGACTGAATGTGACCATTTAAAAGAAGTCCCTCAATGATTTTTTTTTTGTCGCAGAACACAGTACTTCATCATCTAAGTCTGAAATAACTTTTTTTTTATTCACTTATCCACAGTCACTTCCACAGCATCTACTAGTTCAACTTCTACAGGTGAGGATAATTCTAGACTGAATGTGGCTTCTTAAAATAAATTCCTTTTGATTATTTTTTTTTTCATGAAGACATAGTTCATCATCTGAGCGTGATATAAAATCTGTTTCCATCTGGTATTGTTCCAGCTTCTTTACACATGGTCACTTCCACAACATTTAGTCCCACTACTACAGGTGAATGTGTTGCTGAACCGGAATGTGGCTTTCAAGAGACACTCCTGCTAATAATTGTCTTCATGATTAACTCAGTAATTCAGCATCTGTCTCTGATTTAACATCTATTTCCTTCTGTTTTTTTCAGTGTCTTTACAGCCAGTCACTTCCACAACATTTAGTCCCACTACTACAGGTGAATGTGTTGCTGAACCGGAATGTGGCTTTCAAGAGACACTCCTGCTAATAATTGTCTTCATGATTAACTCAGTAATTCAGCATCTGTCTCTGATTTAACATCTATTTCCTTCTGTTTTTTTCAGTGTCTTTACAGCCAGTCACTTCCACAACATTTAGTCCCACTACTACAGGTGAATGTGTTGCTGAACCGGAATGTGGCTTTCAAGAGACACTCCTGCTAATAATTGTCTTCATGATTAACTCAGTAATTCAGCATCTGTCTCTGATTTAACATCTATTTCCTTCTGTTTTTTTCAGTGTCTTTACAGCCAGTCACTTCCACAACATTTAGTCCCACTACTACAGGTGAATGTGTTGCTGAACCGGAATGTGGCTTTCAAGAGACACTCCTGCTAATAATTGTCTTCATGATTAACTCAGTAATTCAGCATCTGTCTCTGATTTAACATCTATTTCCTTCTGTTTTTTTCAGTGTCTTTACAGCCAGTCACTTCCACAACATTTAGTCCCACTACTACAGGTGAATGTGTTGCTGAACCGGAATGTGGCTTTCAAGAGACACTCCTGCTAATAATTGTCTTCATGATTAACTCAGTAATTCAGCATCTGTCTCTGATTTAACATCTATTTCCTTCTGTTTTTTTCAGTGTCTTTACAGCCAGTCACTTCCACAACATTTAGTCCCACTACTACAGGTGAATGTGTTGCTGAACCGGAATGTGGCTTTCAAGAGACACTCCTGCTAATAATTGTCTTCATGATTAACTCAGTAATTCAGCATCTGTCTCTGATTTAACATCTATTTCCTTCTGTTTTTTTCAGTGTCTTTACAGCCAGTCACTTCCACAACATTTAGTCCCACTACTACAGGTGAATGTGTTGCTGAACCGGAATGTGGCTTTCAAGAGACACTCCTGCTAATAATTGTCTTCATGATTAACTCAGTAATTCAGCATCTGTCTCTGATTTAACATCTATTTCCTTCTGTTTTTTTCAGTGTCTTTACAGCCAGTCACTTCCACAACATTTAGTCCCACTACTACAGGTGAATGTGTTGCTGAACCGGAATGTGGCTTTCAAGAGACACTCCTGCTAATAATTGTCTTCATGATTAACTCAGTAATTCAGCATCTGTCTCTGATTTAACATCTATTTCCTTCTGTTTTTTTCAGTGTCTTTACAGCCAGTCACTTCCACAACATTTAGTCCCACTACTACAGGTGAATGTGTTGCTGAACCGGAATGTGGCTTTCAAGAGACACTCCTGCTAATAATTGTCTTCATGATTAACTCAGTAATTCAGCATCTGTCTCTGATTTAACATCTATTTCCTTCTGTTTTTTTCAGTGTCTTTACAGCCAGTCACTTCCACAACATTTAGTCCCACTACTACAGGTGAATGTGTTGCTGAACCGGAATGTGGCTTTCAAGAGACACTCCTGCTAATAATTGTCTTCATGATTAACTCAGTAATTCAGCATCTGTCTCTGATTTAACATCTATTTCCTTCTGTTTTTTTCAGTGTCTTTACAGCCAGTCACTTCCACAACATTTAGTCCCACTACTACAGGTGAATGTGTTGCTGAACCGGAATGTGGCTTTCAAGAGACACTCCTGCTAATAATTGTCTTCATGATTAACTCAGTAATTCAGCATCTGTCTCTGATTTAACATCTATTTCCTTCTGTTTTTTTCAGTGTCTTTACAGCCAGTCACTTCCACAACATTTAGTCCCACTACTACAGGTGAATGTGTTGCTGAACCGGAATGTGGCTTTCAAGAGACACTCCTGCTAATAATTGTCTTCATGATTAACTCAGTAATTCAGCATCTGTCTCTGATTTAACATCTATTTCCTTCTGTTTTTTTCAGTGTCTTTACAGCCAGTCACTTCCACAACATTTAGTCCCACTACTACAGGTGAATGTGTTGCTGAACCGGAATGTGGCTTTCAAGAGACACTCCTGCTAATAATTGTCTTCATGATTAACTCAGTAATTCAGCATCTGTCTCTGATTTAACATCTATTTCCTTCTGTTTTTTTCAGTGTCTTTACAGCCAGTCACTTCCACAACATTTAGTCCCACTACTACAGGTGAATGTGTTGCTGAACCGGAATGTGGCTTTCAAGAGACACTCCTGCTAATAATTGTCTTCATGATTAACTCAGTAATTCAGCATCTGTCTCTGATTTAACATCTATTTCCTTCTGTTTTTTTCAGTGTCTTTACAGCCAGTCACTTCCACAACATTTAGTCCCACTACTACAGGTGAATGTGTTGCTGAACCGGAATGTGGCTTTCAAGAGACACTCCTGCTAATAATTGTCTTCATGATTAACTCAGTAATTCAGCATCTGTCTCTGATTTAACATCTATTTCCTTCTGTTTTTTTCAGTGTCTTTACAGCCAGTCACTTCCACAACATTTAGTCCCACTACTACAGGTGAATGTGTTGCTGAACCGGAATGTGGCTTTCAAGAGACACTCCTGCTAATAATTGTCTTCATGATTAACTCAGTAATTCAGCATCTGTCTCTGATTTAACATCTATTTCCTTCTGTTTTTTTCAGTGTCTTTACAGCCAGTCACTTCCACAACATTTAGTCCCACTACTACAGGTGAATGTGTTGCTGAACCGGAATGTGGCTTTCAAGAGACACTCCTGCTAATAATTGTCTTCATGATTAACTCAGTAATTCAGCATCTGTCTCTGATTTAACATCTATTTCCTTCTGTTTTTTTCAGTGTCTTTACAGCCAGTCACTTCCACAACATTTAGTCCCACTACTACAGGTGAATGTGTTGCTGAACCGGAATGTGGCTTTCAAGAGACACTCCTGCTAATAATTGTCTTCATGATTAACTCAGTAATTCAGCATCTGTCTCTGATTTAACATCTATTTCCTTCTGTTTTTTTCAGTGTCTTTACAGCCAGTCACTTCCACAACATTTAGTCCCACTACTACAGGTGAATGTGTTGCTGAACCGGAATGTGGCTTTCAAGAGACACTCCTGCTAATAATTGTCTTCATGATTAACTCAGTAATTCAGCATCTGTCTCTGATTTAACATCTATTTCCTTCTGTTTTTTTCAGTGTCTTTACAGCCAGTCACTTCCACAACATTTAGTCCCACTACTACAGGTGAATGTGTTGCTGAACCGGAATGTGGCTTTCAAGAGACACTCCTGCTAATAATTGTCTTCATGATTAACTCAGTAATTCAGCATCTGTCTCTGATTTAACATCTATTTCCTTCTGTTTTTTTCAGTGTCTTTACAGCCAGTCACTTCCACAACATTTAGTCCCACTACTACAGGTGAATGTGTTGCTGAACCGGAATGTGGCTTTCAAGAGACACTCCTGCTAATAATTGTCTTCATGATTAACTCAGTAATTCAGCATCTGTCTCTGATTTAACATCTATTTCCTTCTGTTTTTTTCAGTGTCTTTACAGCCAGTCACTTCCACAACATTTAGTCCCACTACTACAGGTGAATGTGTTGCTGAACCGGAATGTGGCTTTCAAGAGACACTCCTGCTAATAATTGTCTTCATGATTAACTCAGTAATTCAGCATCTGTCTCTGATTTAACATCTATTTCCTTCTGTTTTTTTCAGTGTCTTTACAGCCAGTCACTTCCACAACATTTAGTCCCACTACTACAGGTGAATGTGTTGCTGAACCGGAATGTGGCTTTCAAGAGACACTCCTGCTAATAATTGTCTTCATGATTAACTCAGTAATTCAGCATCTGTCTCTGATTTAACATCTATTTCCTTCTGTTTTTTTCAGTGTCTTTACAGCCAGTCACTTCCACAACATTTACTAGTTCTACTTCTACAGGTGAGGATAATTATAGATGGAATGTGTGTGTTTTTTTTTTTTTAAAGAAATTCATCTTCATGATTTTCTTCATAACGAACACAGTAGTTCATCATCTGAGTGTTATTTAGAATCTGTTTCCATCTGGTATTGTTCCAGCTTCTTTACACATGGTCACTTCCACAACATCTAGTCCCACTACTACAGGTGAATGTGTTGCTGAACTGGAATGTGGCTTTCAAGAAACACTCCTTCTAATAATTGTCTTCATGATTAACACAGTAATTCAGCATCTAAATCTGATCTAACGTCTGTTTCCGCATGTTGTTGTTTCAGTTATTTTACAACCAGTCCCTTACACAACATGTACTAGTTCTACTTCTACAGGTGAGACTGAATGTGACCTTTTAAAAGAAAGCCCTCAATGATTTTGTTTTGTTGCTGAACACAGTACTTCATAATCTGAGCCTGATTTAATATATTTTTCCATGTGTTATTATTTAATTTTTTTTAGTTTCTTCCCAGCCAGTCACTTCCACAGCATCTACTAGTTCAACTTCTACAGGTGAGGATAATTCTAGACTGAATGTGGCTTCTTAAAAAAAAATCCTCTTGATGATTTTCTTCATGAAGAAGACAGTAGTCATCATGTGAGTCTGATTTAACATCTGTTTCCATCTGGTATTGTTTCAGTTTCTTTTCACATGGTCACTTCCACAACACCTAGTCCCACTACTACAGGTGAATGTGTTGCTGAACTGGAATGTGGCTTTCAAGAGAAGCTCCTCCTAATATTGTCTTCATGTTGAACACAGATGTGAAAGCATATTTAAATGCTGAATTTCTGCTTCCACATGTTGTTTCAGTTCTTTTACAACCAGTCACTTCCGCAACATCTACTAGTTCTACTTCTTTAGGTGACAATAATTCTAGACTGAATGTGACTATTTAAAATAAATCCCTTAGTGATTTACTTGTTGCAGAACACCGTAGATCATAATCTGAGTCTGATTTAACATCTTTTTCCATCTGTTATTATTTATTTATTTATTTTTAATTTTTTTAGTTTCTTTAAAGCCAGTCACCTCCGCAAAATCTTCTAGTTCTACTTCTACAGGTGAGGATAATTCTAGAACAGCGGTTCTTATATCCTGGTCCTCGGGACCCCCACTGTGCATATTTTGCATATCTCTCTTGTTTAACTCACCTGATTCTAATCAACAGCTCGTTAGAAGAGAGCTCCATGAATAAACTGTGTTCCAATTGACATGGTCCTTACACAGTGTTCACTGCTCTCTACTCCCTGTACACGGGAAATTGGCTAACTTAAGAACACTGATTTGTGCTGATCTGTGCTAGACTGAATGTGGTTACTTAAAAGAAATTCCTCTTGGTGATTTTCTTAATGAAAAACAGAGTAGTTCGCTGAAAACCGCTGAAAACCAATTTGAGCTTTATTTAAAATATTGTATATTGAGATGAATGTGACAATACGGCTGTTTATTATTCTGCAGAACAGCTTTCCTAAAGTACTGCTCACGCAGATGCCACGATAATTATTGGGGTCAAATTGATCACTTTTTTTAAAATAGGGGGGTTTGTTAAAAGTTGATTTGTCAAAATTACAAAACTAATTATAAAGACATTTTTTTTTTTTTTTGGTCATAAAAGTAATATCTCTTGTCTTATCCGAATTTAATAAGAGAAAATTATTGAAATATATAGTTGAGTATCATCATGAATTCATGAAGACTCTTCCCATTCCAGGTCTGAACATCACGCCGCTAGAAGAATGCAGGGTAAGTTGTTGCGGGCGTTAATTTCTGAAATTGTAATTGGAGGGTTGGACTCATATTAATAAAAATTCAAACAACAGCACAATAAAACAGTATAATGTGTACTGTTTTGTATTTTTGTCATTGTTGTTGGTTCTTTGCATATACTTTGTGATACAATTAACTTTTATTTGACTTAAAACATTATCAAAATCACCAAATACTCCACAGTGCACACTAAGTTTTCTATTTCATTTATAAAGCTCGTTTGTGATTTCAGACCACAGGACGGTGTGTAGATCTTCTTAACAATATAGAGAACATGACAGCAGAAGTGCTTCCATTGACAGTGAGACAAAATTACAATATAATCATTATTTGTCACTTGCATAAATTATCATGCAGCAAAGCTTTCTTTTGTTCCAACATTTACAAATAATCCTTTTTATATGATCACTAAAATAGAATGTGACCAGCATTTTGAATGTGGTCCTCAATGCTTCAGACATGTTTTTGGAGTCATCGTCAGCTGACCCAAATAAACTGGTGTCATATGGAAACCGTATGTTAAAAGCCAGTGAGAAACTTGTGGCCATGCTCGTAAAACCAACAAACACAAGTGACTATGTCACTTTTACTCTTGACACTTTGAGTAAGTAAAAACCAAACTATGAATAAACAGTGAAATTACTGACTTAATGTGCTCAAGTCTAGAAAACCTTTGAAATAACTTTTGACATTTTCAGATGACCTTATTGTGAATACATTTTCATTCACATATCTGTACTTTTTAATCAGAGGTAGAAATCTTCATGGTTGGACCACAGGTCACCCTAGAGAAAATCCCTAGACTTAACACGACAGATTCTTCTGTGGACATCGATCTCATTGGGATCGCCAAGAACAACAATGAAACAAGTATGTTAAATGTTGTGATGTGATTTTATCAAACAAAAGAGATAGAATATAACTAAACAACATTTACTTAAGTTTTTTATTGTATAGTTGAATGGAAGTTTTAATACTTGTTATTATTTATGTGTTTCTGTTACACAGGATCAGCTGCTGTGGCTTTCATGAGCTATAGCATTAGATGGTTGTTCTGTTTTAGAGACCAACAGCAACTACACTGTGTGTTCCTGTGATCATCTGTCCACATTCGCTCTCATCGTGCAAACCAGCCATCCACAAGAGGTACAAGAAATGTATAGTTAACACTGAAGAAAATCACAGATTTGGCACTCATGTTCTGTTACATGTTTTCTCAGAATGACCCACTGCTGGATCTGTTGAATTTGGTGTGTGTGATCGTGGGGCTGGTGTTCTTCAGTTTGGCCCTGTTGACCTTTGTCCTTTGTCAGTGGAGTCCTGGAGTGAATAACGTGGCTCGAATCAACATCTGCATCAGTCTTCTGCTGGCTCACCTTCTGTTCCTGCTCACACAGCGGTTCCTGAACCTCATACAGCCTCTGCAGGTAAGAATAATGAAGAAGCCCTACAACTCAGCACAGCCTCACTGAGAATCATCATAACCGTCTCTCATGGTCTCCAGGTGTTGTGTGCCGTGATCTCTGGCCTTCTGCAGTTCTTCTTTCTCTCCGGCTTTGTGTGGATGCTCATTGAAGCTGTGCTGCTCTTCATCTGTGTGAAGAACCTATCACAGATCAGCTCCATTAATAGGGAGGTGCTTAGCAGTGGATTCCTGTGTGTGATTGGATATCTGGTTGCTCTGGTTGTGGTGGCCGTGTCTGCTGTGGTGGATCCTAAAGGCTACGGAAGTGAAAAGTGAGTTTAGTTGGAGTAACTCATTGCTCATTGTTACGACCCGGCTCAAAGTCACAACATAAAGAGGACAGTTCACAAAATGAGTTTCAATAAAGAAAATATATGTATTTAAAGTTAAACAAATAATGTCTAGGGTCAAAATATTAAAGAATAATGAAAGGAACAACAAATCAAATAGCTGCTGGAAATGGGGTTTGTGGAGTTGTGGCAACAAAAATGGGAACACACAATCTCAAGAACCCACTCTTCAAACAAGAACACAAAACAAAAATGAGAGCGAGTGAGCCAAAATCCATGAGCCTCTTAAATAGAGTGCCACAGGTGCGGCCCATGATCAGCACTAGAGTCCCACCCCTCAAGGAGAAGCCTCTGTCCTTGCAATCTCACAACAAAAGACAAAGGAAAAAAGGGCAGGGCTGTAACACCATCATCTTCGCCCATGTTTGTTTACTGATTATTTTATGTATATCCCCCCAAATAGGTGCTGGATTAAAATAGATAAAGGCTTCTTCTCAAAATTTCTGGGACCTGTTTGCATGATACTAACGGTAAATGCATTTCTCATGTAACTTTTCTCATGACTTTTGTATTAAATGGAAAACAATGGATGACTAAATACTTTTTTGCCCCACTGTATATATATATATACATACAGTGCATTCAGAAAGTATTCAGAGCCCCTTCACTTTTTTCAATTTTGTTATGTTGCAGACTGATACTACAATTGTTTAAATTATTTTTTTTCTCATTAATCTACACTCTGTACCTCATAATGACAAAGTGAAAACAGAATTTTAGAAATGTCTGTACATTTATTAAAAAGAAAAAAATGAAATATCACATTTACATAAGTATTCAGACCCTTTACCCTGTACTTGAAGAACCTTTGGCAGCAATTACAGCCTCAAGTCTTTTTTGGTATGACGCAACAAGCTTTGCACACCTGGATTGGGGGATGTTCTGTCATTCTTCTTTGCAAATCCTCAAGCTCGATCAGGATGGATGGGGACCGTCGGTGGACAGCCATTTTCAGGTCTCTCCAGAGATGTTCGATAGGGTTCAAGTCAGAGCTCTGGCTGGGCCACTCTAGGACATTCATAGAGTTCCTAAGCCACTCCTGTGTTGCCTTGGCTGTGTGCTTAGGGTCATTGTCATGTTGGAAGTTGAACCTTCGGCCTAGTCTGAGCGCTGTGGAACAGGTTCACTGAGGATATCTCTGTACTTTGCTCCATTCAGCTTTCCCTCAAACCTGACCAGTCTCCCAGTCCCTGCCACTGAAAAAAACCCCCCACAGCATGAGGCTGCTACCACCACACTTTACTTTTCAGATGGTACTCTGCAGGTGACGAGCAGAGCTGGTTTCCTTCAGACAAGATGCTTAGAATTGAGGTTCATCAGACCAGATAATCTTGTTTCTCAGAGTCTGAGGGTCCTTTAGGTGTTTTTTCAGGGGGAAGTCGTGGCTTAATGGTTAGAGAGTCAGACTCGTAATCCAAAGGTTGCGGGTTCGAGTCTCGTACCGGCAGGGATTGTAGGTGGGGGAAGTGAATGTACAGCACTCTCTCCCACCTTCAATACCACGACTGAGGTGCCCTTGAGCAAGGCACCAAACCCCCAACTGCTCCCCAGCAAAAAATGGCTGCCCACTGCTCCGGGTGTGTGTTCACGGTGTGTGTTTACTGCTGTGTGTGTGCACTTTGGATGGGATAAAATGCAGAGCACTAATTCCGAGTATGGGTCCACATGTCATGTCACGTCCCTTTCAGTTTCTTTTTTTTTGTTGCAAAATGGCTGCCCACTGCTCCGGGTGTGTGTTCACGGTGTGTGTTTACTGCTGTGTGTGTGCACTTTGGATGGGATAAAATGCAGAGCACTAATTCCGAGTATGGGTCCACATGTCATGTCACGTCCCTTTCAGTTTCTTTTTTTTTGTTGCAAAATTCAAGTGTGTTTTCATGTGTCTTCACTGAGAAGATTGAGTTTGGCCACACCACCATAAAGCCCAGATCAGTGGAGTGTTGCAGTGATATTTGTCCTTCTGTAGGTTTCTCCCATCTGCACATATGACCATGGAGCTCAACTAGAGCTTCTTCCATTTGAGAATTATGGAAGCCACTGTGCTCTTGGGAATCTTCAGTGCAGCAGAAATTGTTTTGTAGCCTTCCTCAGATCTGTGGCTCGATACAATCCTGTCTCTGAGCTCTGCAGGCAGTTCCTTTGACCTCATGGCTTGGTTTTTGCTCTGATATGCATTGTCAGCTGTGAGGCCTTTTATAGAGAGGTGTGTGCCTTTCCAAATCATGTCCAATCAATTTAATTTACCACAGGTGGACTCCAATCAAGGTGTAGAAACATCTCAGCAATGATCAAGAGAAATGGGACGCACCTGAGCTAAATTTCAGGTGTTGTTGCAAAGGGTCTGAATACTTAAGTAAATGTGATATTTCAGTTTTTCTTTTTAATAAATTTACAAACATTTCTAAAGTTCTGTTTTAACTTTGTCGTTATGAGGTACGGAGTGTAGATTAGTGAGAAAAAAATGAATTTAAACAATTGT